GAACTTTAGATCCATACTCTTCTTCAAAAGAGTGCTCAGCCGCGCCCAATTTTCGAAGCATGAGCCGAATTTTCTTTTCTTCTAGCACATTAGCCAAATCAATATGAAACATATCTTCATATTTATGAAACCAGGATTCGAAAGTTAACCCAGAATCAGCGTCACAATGGAACTCACTGATATGTTGCGTCAAATGATATTGCGATTACCTACTTTGAAAAATTTTGCGACAATGTCTCGACCAAATTTGCTTGATATTTTCAAATTGTTGCTTGCGATTTTTTAAACTGCGCCTGTTGCTGTTGCAGTAGAGCTTGCATTCGTTCAGAACTGACTGCCATGATTGAGTTTCGAAATGAAGATAACCTGTCGCCACTGTTGTATCTCTTCACCTGCCCTGACGCTACTGGAAGACAAGAAGACGACCTGAAGGAACTGTGTATTAACGCAATTACAAACTTCTATATATATGATTCATGTGTCACCGTATTTGATGGTCGATCCGCTGTCAACCAACCAGTGTGTCTCCCACACACCCACACCGGTTATCGGGCGGTTGTTCCTTTGTCTCGGTTGATCATAGATGGCCGTCTATGCGCCTGTGTACGGGGTACCTTGGCCACGGAGTGGGTGTGAACTTTCTGTGTCCTTATTTGACCTTTCTCCGGCAGATGATGAAATCGGACGTGATTCGGACGTTCAGGCGTAATTGCACGGCCCTGTTTGACATGATTGTTCCGCTGCGCAGTAGGCTGATGCGCAGCCGTATTAATTATCAATATACATCACCAAAGGAACCCACGATCCATTCCTTACCCCGCTGTCAACCTGCTGTACGGTACACGCAAGTAGGCTGTCCACGTGCAGTTTAGCATCATCAGCGACAATCCACTGAGAGAAGCCGAATTTAGTCTGGAGAAGCAGGTTGGACAGCCTTGAACATGCCATAAAGTAGGTGCCTGGCAGGCCAGGTTGAACATGAACTACATACTGTAAACTTTCTTAGGTCACCACCGACAAGCTCTGATGACCTGGGTTGCAGATACTCTGTATTTGTTGGAAACCTCGAAAAACCAAGAACACTATGAAGCAACCGATCAAACAAGGCCAAATTTCGTTGCGCCGTCACTTACTATCCGTGAAGAAAACCGGTCACCTGTAACGAAGAATTGTGGTTACCACACTGGGTGGCGGTCTCAGTATGCAGAAGCTGGTTTTCCGGACTTTGTGTCATGCCATCTCGTCTTTTTGGCTTATGGTTTCAAAGGGCTTGTTTATTCTATTACGTTGAAAGTTGTGGCAAATATTCTTCTGCAGTATTTGATGAAGGCTTAGAAGCTTTTGTCCAAGGTGAGTACCCATGGCTATACATCCTTGGAACTAACTGCCGGTCCCACCAAAAGGAAGGTGTGACTGTGAGGTGGTCCGCAAAAGCCCCATCATGATGGTGATATGTACAACAACATAAAACTCCAGTGTAACAGATCCCGGAGATAAAAGTGCATTTCATTTTTTGGTCCCAAGGAAGAGTGATCTAAAACCCCAGATTTTAGTCTCATATCTGCGACAGGAAGAGCGCCTTTGGGTGCAGAATTGTTTACTGACCAAGGTGGAATAAGCCGTGAAAATATATCAGGCACAAAAGTAAAAATATTTACGCAGAGGTTTTGAAAAATGAATATGCGCGAGCATCCTTTTGAACAATGCTTGAAATTTTTTTATTTCAGGAAATAGTGAACAAACGCCGTAAATCGGCCCAAGTGTTTCCATATCAATTCCTCATAAGATATAGGGATAGCATTTTGACACTTGATCAAACGGTACTAATGAGTCTCATCAGTTGTATAAACCGATAGACCAGTACCAACAGTGCAAGCGCCGGTTCGAAACAGGAGATGACGATTCTATTTTGACAACAAGGAAGAAGAAGGCACTCAACGAATTTTGTAATGACGCGGTGGATTACTTCTGATTTATTCTCCAAGTAGTTCATGTATTCAGTGGAGCCTAATGATTTGTGAATCCATGCGCATAGGCCATTTAAGACGTACGAAAGTGAACGTTTACCTAGGATATTAAAAATTGCTAGCTAACCTGGCCGACACCATCAAAATGTCAAATTGAACTGGAGATACTGGTTGTTCGTAGCCAAAGAAGATCACAATTCAATTGGACTGCTGTAATTTTTCGCTCATATTGAGAAACAAACGGATATCTGCCAACAGCGTTCAGTGATTGCACACGGACTATCTTCTACCCAAAGTTGATTTAACAAACGCTGTATTGGCTCTGCAATTCGGTGTGATACTTAATACCCGCGAGAAACAACGCAACGTGTCCAGAATACTCGGTATTTCGCAATACGCTTTGCGTTTTCAAAAGAATGAAAATTTCAACTATTTCATTATACTTGCCAACAATAGTGTCGTGCACTGTTAGACAGATGAAATGTTTTGGATTTGCTAGAAGTGATAACAAAAGGATACCGCTTTTGTGTAACATCGCTAATGCTCCCAACATCATACGAACGCTGCTGTCAACTTTGAAGAAGCCAATCACATCAATTTTTAGTGACACTTTCAGTGACAAACTTGTATTGTATTGAGTTGTATTTTGACAAACTTGTATCTAAATTTGATGTATTGAGTTGCATTTCAGTCCTTTAACATAGCGGTTTGCGTTGTGTCGGCATCAACTCTTTTATCCAGAGTTTCTGATAAAGTTGTGACTGGTAATGACAATAAGATGAAGTTTTGAACTGCGCTCCAAAAACTATACCACTTTCGACGCTGTTAAAGACGATAAATTTAGAAAGCACTCTTTCTGTAATATTTGTTCATCAGAGGACCTAATAAGCAACACTCCAAAACACCAACTACAGTTCCTTGTATTTGAATGTATATTTTGACCATTGAATGCTCTCCCTACTATAGTACTATAGTACTATAGTTCAAACTTGCGCACTGTAACGCAATTGGAACTGACCGTACCAGCTTACACGTTTTTATCGTATGACCTAATGCGTCAATCTCCGTTTCTCCCTATTTGAATACCTCCGATGAGCCCCAGGCAAGAAGCCCGAATGTACACTCCTGTAAGTGACCTTAAACTATTGCTTGAGGTCATAAGGAACATAAGTCGCCGATCTCTGATATATGAATGGGCTTCATGGGGTTAATTGCCCCTGTCATACCCAGTTTCTTCAGTTGGCCCTGCTTACAGGACACCACACAATCCATCATCTCACTCCTCATCCCGAGTCAGCAGTCCCTCTGCCGAAGTAAGTCTTTATCCACCCTTTATGTGCCATATCACGGCATTCGACGATATGCTTCCGTCTCAAGACGCAAGGTATCACGGGCAGCACATCAGAATTGGTGGCGTTTCAGGAAATTGTGCCAACTTTATTCAGACTCAGCCGATCAAGCTGACTCTGGAACGTTTCCAATTCCTTGTCTCCACCTCCGTTCTCAACACTCGCACCATCCAACAAGGCGGCTGCAAAATTTCGCAACATAGGATTCTGCCTTTAGAAAAGCATTAACCTTCTGAACTCCAGTTAGACGACAAGGCCAGTGTCACCAATCACTATCTTGGAGTCCTCATTTTCAGCCTCTGGTCTTGACAGCCAATCAGCCAGGTAGTTCTCCTTCCCTGACAGGTGCCGTATCGTGAAGTCGAAACCAGGCAACCGGAGTGCCCAGTGTGTGAGCTTTCCGCGAGAATTTCTGGTGGTCCTGGTCCACTACACCAGGGTTTTTTGTAGGTTTTGATACGAAATCTTTGTCCAAGTAGATATGGTCTCCGCTTATCCAGGCCTCAGATGATCGCTAAGCATTCTTTCTCAATGGTCGACTACTTCTGCTTAGCGTTAGTCAGGACACGGCTGGCATATTCAGTAACTATTCCTCTGCCTTGGGAATGCGCCGATACCGTGGTTACCAGCGTCCGTAGCAACGTAAACATCTCTCCGACCAGGGTAGTTTGACGATCAGTTGCTGATCCCGCATCCGCGGTATGACACGTTCGAAAGCCTCACATGCTTTCCTGGTCCATTTAAATTTTCGGTTTCGCCCAAGCAATTCGTACACTAAAGCAGCAATCGTGTTGAAATCCTTGACAAATTGGCTGTATCATGCTGCTCGTTCTAGAAACTGTCTTAGGGATCGCCTTGAATCTGGAACAGCACAGTTCTCGATCTCTGCCAGTTTTCCTGGCAGAGGGCTAACCTTTCCGTGACCCACCTCATTTATTAGCAAGGTCATCGAAGTCTGAGCGAGCCGTGTTTTGCCTTTTTTTATCCGCGGACCTGCTCACCGGATACGCTTCAATACCGTCTTTCAGTAAACCGCTTGCCCAGGTTCCGAATTCCTGTACACAACCATATCATCTCCGCATACGGCAACACACTGGAGTCCCTTCATTAAGCGAAGCATCAAGCGCCGGGATGTGAATGATGCGCCTGACAAACCAAACGGCATTCGTATAGATTGGGTGTCTCCAACGGCGAAAGCCGTTTCCTCCCGGGCCTCCGCCTTGATAGATTACTCTCAGTATCTGAAATGAAAGTTAAAGACCGTGAAATATCTGAAATCTTGGAGGGAAGCGAAAATCTCCGCAGCGGAAGGGACAGCTATAACCGGATTTAAGGGCACTTCATTCAAAATCCAGAAATCCGCGCAAAACCGGTATTTTCCGTTCGCCTTCTTTACAAGCACAACCTGGGAGTGGTGCGCACTGTTGGCTTCCAAGATTATGCCGTTTTTCAACATCCCTCTCACTTAGGGAAATACACTAATTTGCAAACAAATTTGGTTTTTTGAGAACTCGCCTGGAGCCTGCTAGGTCTCTCGGTTGTGATGTTTGCAAACGAGTGTTGATGGTTCCCACCAAGCACGAAAAACCTGTAAAGTCCGTCACACTTTCTAAAGCTAGTGCCAACAAACAAAAGCTGGTACTGATTACACTGATTCGACTTACCCTTCATTCGTCAATACTGTTCTCTATAATTTTGCAGATAATCTATTAGCCACTTTGATTGGTTTGATGCAATGCTTTTTTAGTAAACGATGTTCAAGAGGTGAAGCCGGCGCTCGTCAAGCCTAAAGACTTTTACAATGTACCAGAACTTGAACTTTGCGATCAAATCTTACCAAAAGTAACAACAAATGGGACTAAGAGAACGTGCGTTATGAACCCAAGGTGGCTGGACAAGCCGTGCGCCCTGAGATATCATCAAATCTAATCAAAGTCACAGCCTACGGTGAAAGCGCCGGAAGTTGAACGGCGTTTCCCTAATTACCAGGCGCCATGCGTTGTGTCATCTGTGGTTTTACATTTTTGCCTCATAGTACAATCACTGCAATTATTCTTGTCTAAAAACTCAGTAAATGCCGTAGTTTGTTCGCATCACTGTTTAACTTCGAGTGGTTTTTTATGTCAACAAGAACAAATATTGTCAAGGGCGTGTCACTGTTGTTTAATGCACTTATTACGTGACAAGTTTAGAAATTTACTCATACCTAGGAGAACAAAATTATTTACCCTCAAAAATTATTGATAAATAGTACCATGCACAGTACCGAGGGCCCCTCTAAAGGGGACCTGCTACCTGACCAATTGAATTTCCAAGTAAGATCACGTACGATACAGGTAAAAATGGCTTCAAAACACCATGAGTTATCTTCATGGGTCCAACAAAATCGTGCGTGTTTGGGGTTTGAATTCGCACGATATAAGGGGCATTGTTTCCATTAGGAACGAAGAAGTAATAGCTAGTGAACTATTATATCATAGAATAATTGGCGAAAGGCGAAACAAAAGAGCTGGAGAAAATAGAAAAAATAAAAACCGGTTGAACGAACAAGAAAGAAGAGGACTGAGATAGAAACACCAAGGAGAAGACAAAAGTCTGGAGAATTTAGGAAGTGTAAGTTTTAAATATACTTGCGCGTCAATCTGTAGGAAACGCAATCTAGATTAGATTTTCTGTACATTGCAAGTGTAAAAATAATCAACGATAATAAAATAATAATAAGGACGGTAAATAATTTTGATTGGCCAGACAAGAGATTAAGTGCTACTTGGTCAACATTGCAAAAATCAACGTTTTGTTTGCAGCTACGACCCTCAAAGTCTACTCCTGGATATGTTGATGCCGAAGGGTTGTTGCGCTTAAGTTGATTTTCCGTATCACTGGTCGTCCATTGTTTGGTGCTTGTTGCCTTTCTGCTGAAGGTGGCCAGTTTTTCAGGCGGATGATTGCTTCGTCCAAACAGAAAATGAAATAAATTTGCAGGGAACACACAAATACACTAGCCACTTATTACTTTTTTGGCAGATAGATTTTCCTGGTTTAGGTTATTAGTAATTATTGAAACAACAAACCAGGTATCTATGAAGCCAGCACAGATCGGGCAGGTTTGGTCACTCAGTTGGTACTAACCATTTTGTTAGGAATTCCAATAATGGTGTGTCTCAGACTGATCTACGATAAAATCATCATAAACTAATAAAATGGGATTTGTAGCAACACGAACTGTTAATATTAGTGTTTTTAACCAACGGGTGACCATCACCTTGTCGATAATAAAATCGCAACTCACATGTTCTATTCAAAGATTTCTGGTTACTCACTCGCACGCAGATAAGAGTGTTAAAATCATGCAAGCACCGATTCGTTCAAAGACGGGTAGTTGAAATTTACTTCTAAGCTATCAACAGTAATGATGTCAATCTGGGATTATGGAGAGTCGATCGCTTCCATTATTGCTAATGTTTTGTTCTGGTTAGTCATATCAGTCTGATTGCCACACCCAGCAAGCCAGACAATGTTCCGTATCTCAGCATGTGTTTGCTCGTTCTAACTCGCACCGTGTGCACCATACAGCGTGATTCTACCAACATTTATCTAAGCGAATGAACCAAATAATCATTCAAAACCATTCAAGAGTAATACAACAAAATTTGAGTGACCGTGTAGACTTGTTACACGGTCTGAAAGTGGGGCACCCGAAGAGCATAGACTTCTTGTTTTTTTTTCATATATAACTCTCGTGATTTTCTACCTGAGCTTTCTTCCTGCTGTCCCTATAGAAAGCATAATAAAGACACGAAGTGCGACAAAATCGTTCTAATGTCAAAAAACTGGATTGGTTCAAACACCTTTGACTTACACGGCTTATTCAGAACTTCTAGCTATTTGAAAAAAAAACTGAAATCACCAACAACGGACCTCATTTCAGGGGACAAGTATCTTTACATTGCTCTTATTGTATATCTGTATATGAAACTACATACGCGTTGAAATAGTTATGCGGTGACCTTTACATTACCGACTGCGTACAAAAAGATTTGTAAAAGTAAAGCCATGTAACCCTTGTAGCTCGAAAACCACCTGTTTAGCTTGTCGCTCATGATGCAGGGAAAGTGAAAAATTCGGGCTTGCACTGTCACGTTTTGAAGCCCAGCCGGCATAATCTGCCGGAGTCATTTTTACCGTTCTCTGTGTAAACCACGCGATAACCGTCTAAGGAAGCGTCTTTCTGCTTAAGCACATAGCTAAAACATTCAAGATCCGCTCGTCAAATTTAGAATAGATCTGGTTTACAATAAACTGGAAAATGTCAAATCGTTTGTTGAAAGGGATTTCGAATTAGCGGTAAGAAATCCAAGGCCCATCCATTGTCATAAGTAAATACACTTGGGAGTTGATCCATATACCGCCATTCGGTACGCACGTTTGTACAGTAATTCCCAAATTTTTTGCTGTGCACTAAGCGTCACTTTCATCAGTAGGCATACCTGAACTTTTGCGATTCGAGTTGTTGTTATTTTGGTTGGAGTATTGCGCGTGACATCATGGATTTGGTTTGGTTTGCCAAATTCATCGGATTTTTTCAAGCTTACACTGCGGGAACGCAAGTATCAGGAACATCGACATGTGGTTTCATTAGGACAGGACAGTGTTATATACTGGTGGGTTGTTGTACAAAATTGATGACGCATTTCACCAAGCATGCACTTTTACTCAACATGGATTAGATGTTTATAAACTATCGCCATTCTCATCCCAAATGTTTTTCCAAAATCTCACAGCTTGCCAATGAAACGACAAACTGCCATTTGTGCTTGCATTTTCTATATTTTCAGTTTCCCGCGAACTATATGAACATTACCGGTGTGGCGCATTGAGTACTTCGACGACTCATTGCGCTATCCCGAGGGTGTCCGCACGTTGCCCACAGTGTCTCCTATACCAGTTTGTCTGCGGTTAGAGAT